GTTTTGCGATTCTGGGAGTCGCAAGCTAACCACGTGGTGGAAAAGTGACCCAAGTTGCAGCGCAAGAGCTGGGATCTCAAGAGACGGCACCAGTTCTACGGCTTTCGGCAGAGCAGCTGCAGACCGCTCAACCTCTAGACCGTCTCCCCGTCGGCGGAGAGCTGTTATGAATGGCCCCCGGACCATTTTCACAATGTCTACATCTGGCCGTTTGTTTTCGTCGAGCGCCTCCCGCGGGTTCAAGGTCATCTGACTCAGCAAGCCTGGCGCAAGCATCGCTTCGGAAGCACGCCTGCCCCGCGGACGCACCAGACGGGCGCCGTGATATAGCCAGACTTTGCCGTGTACACACGTCTGGATATAGCATCCGAAGAGGGAAAACAACATCTCAGGTTTCACATCAGGGCACGATCCGGGGCGATGAAATCATCAGGACGCCTTCATTCAACGCGTAGACACGAAGAGTCGAATGTCGGCACGTCACGTCTCGGCCCCGGACGGTGTTTTGACCAGCTGCGTGAATTCCAACGAGCCGGTGTTTTGGTGAGACTCTCGGCGCCGTCTAGACCGACGGTGAAGTGTTTACGGCGGCTCAGTGTGCGTAATAGTGGAATGTGGGGCGGTGTTTGAACTAGACACCTTTCTGTGGTTGGCCGACTATCCGCCGATGTAGGAATCCCTACCTAGGGACCTGGGGAGAACCAAGTGCTCAAAATGAGCGAACTTTGACAAGCAAATATCTTCTCTGGTCTTGAACCAACTGTACATCATGTAAATAAACAGTGTACATTTCGAGAGAGATCGCGGCTCATCGTTGTTCCCGCTGAGCTCCAGCCCAGTGCCTGGCTCGAGTCGCCCCTCCACCACCACGGACCCCGCTCGGTCAAAACACCTTATGGGCAGGGCTTGCGGCAATATTTTTGCGCGCAAAATTCTAGTCCACAGTAAAAACGCGAAAATTGATCGATGAAAATACAAACGCTATAAGTTATAACCTTTTCGCAAATTGTGTCAGTTGGTAAAGCCTGTGATAGTAGTTGGCGTCAATTCTGCAATTGCAGCATAGGCTATGAAACCAGGAATAAAAAGTTATTGAACAATATTTTTAATAAACTGATTTACCATGACAATTATTCCCTCATTTAGTGTCCACCGACTCTTCCGCTCACATGGCGAAGACGGCACCCGAGTCATTCACACCTTTCATCAAACACACTTCCTCTACCTATCCTAGTGAGTTCACAATTCGAGATCTGTTAAGCTGGGCTACAGTGTATTGCGGAGTCTAAAATACTCTACACGCACGAAACCTCGGATGCGTGAGGCTTCCGCCTCAAAGAGAGGAATGTTTTTTTCACTCATTACACTGCTTTTGGTAGCACTACATCTTCTATCAAAATGCATTTAAAGACGGGACTGCGATCGTCTGTTCTTGGTCATAACGGATTCTGCCGGCCGTAAGGATCCTAAAAAGAAATCGGCGTCCAATAAAAAAATCACGCGACGCCGATTTTTGTTAAATCAAAAACGTGATGAAAAGTCGGGACACACCCTTTTCTGAGCGTATTATTTGCTCAAAAAAGGCGGGGCATACTCAATCGCCGGTGTCAGTGCGGTGTAGAGCCCTGCATATCCGCGGATTATCCGCGGATATCCGGAGATATCCGCAGCAAACTGGCGGATGCGGATAAAAATTAGACGGATTTTGGCGGATTGCGGATCGGATACGGATGTCAGGGCCTGCGGATGCGGATATCCGCGGATCCGGATCTAAATTTTTGCCCGGTGGCATTCAGTCCGTCAACTGACGTTTCACGTACAGATCGTTTCGTCGACATGCGACGTTTCATCGAACGGCTTCCCGTGTTCGTTCCGTCGAAAAACCGTTTCGTTGCACACAATCCTGCTATTTTCGTAACAAACTTTTTGCGTCTCGCCTCGATTACGGGGGGGAGGGGGACATGGTTTGGTTAAGCACGCCTTAGTGAATCGCGCGCTAGCTTTTAGCGGCCTAGTGAAGAAATACGTTGTCGACAAAACGTCGCAGGGGCATGTGCCCACAAAAAGTACAGCGTCGACGGACCGTGTGTCCGTGAAATGTATGTCCATGAAAAGCTGTCCACGAAACATATTTCCACAAAACGCGTTTTGAAGAAACGATAGAATCATAAGAAAGATCTGATTGTTATCGCTTCAGTTAGTGCATTTCATCTCGTCAAAAATGCTATCTATAGAAAAAGTAAAAGTAAAGAATGCAGGACATCAATCTTGTCGAGAAAGCCAGTTCTTTGTCAGGGGAAGAGCGGAAAGCTTACTCGGGCAAAGAAAACCTCAAACGAACAAGTCACAAGAAAGTAGAAGAAATCTCCCCCTCTCCCCAGAGAATGGTGTGGTCATGATACAAAAAACAAAAGAATGCTTCGACACCGAGCGCGACTCTGTGGCGCCATGGCTTGCAAAGTTTCGGAATCGGCGGCGCACGCCCATAGGCAGCCCTTAAATTGCCTGTTTCTTTTTGTATTCTGAGAGCTTAGCCAAGAAAGTCTGGTCATCTTCGTCCGGTTACGACGAGAGAGCGCCAGAAATGCCAGCGGCTGCAGCGCGAAACCTACGTAGCCGCCCCAAGCAAAAAAAAAAAAAAAATGTTTTTTTTTTTTTTTAATAGATATATCTGGGCGCCTGCAGGCCGCGGTCTTTCTCGAACAACACGTTAGTCGATCCGATCAGGCCTTGGACTCTGACTTAGCTGGCGCATCTGCCCGCTGGCTGACACAAAACACCGTGAGACTCGAGGCGGCCGCATACGCTCGTTAGCATCACAGAAACGATTTTGTCTTCCTACCACTGTTTCTCCTCCTCTCTTTCCGAACTTTTTTTTTATGACCTTTTTTTCTTAGGCGTTCAGAGTTCAGGGGAGAGTTAAGGGGCCACAGGTGAAGGTTTCCGATTCCGCGTGCGGCGGGGAAGATCGCGGTCGGCGTGATTTCCGCTGATTTTGCTAGTCTAAATGTAATCGAAACCTCTGGTGGTTAGCAAGAACATCGACATGGTTCCACATTTTACGGATGCGGTTCGGATACGGATACAAAGTATGCGGATGCGGATCGAATACGGATACAATAATGCAAAAAGTTTGCGGATGCGGTTCGGATGCGGATACAAAGTCTGCGGATGCGGATCGGATGCGGATATTCAAACTGTTATCCACGCAGGGCACTACGGTGACGATCGGCGCTCGTCCGCCAATCGCACGCCGTTTAAGAGACGGCTTGCGATTGACTGACGAGCGCCCATCGTCCCCGCCTTGACACCGCTGCTTGGGAGTGCCGAGCGGAAACAATATGCTCAGAAAGGGTTGTGTCTTGACCTTTCATCATGCTTTCAATAGGGAAATCGCCGTGTCGCGATTGTACTTTTTAGATTTTAAGGGTGCTTAGGGCCCGTGGAATCAGTTATGACCAGGAATAGACGATCGTGTAATCCTATTTAGTGCCCTTTTAAATGCAATGGGGAAGTGACACCACCCTTATGATTTCGCATTGGTGAAGAGCTATCCGGTCTGGATTACATTTCTTTATACCTGAACTTATGAAAGAGGAGGCCGACGCGCAGTATGCATTTCGCAACCCTGGAAGCAGTCAATGCAGGCCTGTTCGTCTTCAATTACGCGGGCAGAAATAGAGTAAGATTGGGACGGCAGTATTATTGCGGAACGTAAAGCGGATACGGATGCATTCGAGTGAGGATAATGTCCGCTTCCACTGAATAAAGCGTCTTTTCAGGGGAGCGTTGAAGACTTTGCGTCGGCGTCTGAGAACGTTCACGGCTCGCTGGCGAACGTCGGCGTGCGTCGCCCGCGATGCGGACGCCTTGAGGAAAAATCAGACTCCGCTTTAAAAAAACAAAAGAAATAGCAATATTTTTTTTTCTTTTTTTTTATGCTGAACAGATGGGGTGGGTTGAACTTTTGGGTATTTTCAAAGTTGCGTGCACCGCCGCTCACATTGCTTTTCTGGCTCTCCATATGGGTTTTTCTGCCTACATTATAGTTTTCGTCATTTTAATAAAGGCAACAAAACGAGAGTTTGAAAATTTAATACAAGGAATTCAATTATTAATTGTTAGAAGAAAAGTAGTGTACCTATTACCCCAATCAAAGTTGAATAACAGAAGCAACAAATTTCGTAAAGTCTCTTTTTTGTTTTGGGCTGTTATTTGGTCTAGAATTGGAGTCTTGCAATGTTTGAGTGTGGGGCATATTATTAAGCAATGAGTTGCCCACCTAAAGTTGTGTGGTACGCCACCACTTTTTTCACTGTTTTCTTTTTTTTTTATTAACAACATGGGTTTCACGCAAATTTCGAAAATTTAAAACTTGATATCAACAAAAATAAAGATAAAAACTTTTCAGGAAAAAAACTTTTCTTTCAGTTCAGATGCTTCGTTATACAAATTAATTTTATCGTGCATATCCCAGACATGAAACAATTGCAGCGTCTCCTTTGGCATGGAATGACCCAGCATTCTACCAGGCACGCGACGTCGTGTCAGCGCCGCCATGTCAACGGTTTGCACCACTTATTTTCATTTTCTCGTTGCTTTTTAGGCATTCGCAGCTGTTTTGTTCTTGGTTGTCGTTTTTGTTCCCAATAGTGTTCTGTGGCCAGCCCAGCTTTCGGCAAGTTGAGCCGTCCAACTTGACCAACTCTCTTCGACCTTTGTACGCTTCACTTTTCAATGCAACATCGGAGTTATAGCTTCAGTTAGGATGAAATTCTGCAATTAAAAACCATAACACCCCTTTATAAACAAACCTTCCAGGCCGTTGGCAACACCGTCGCCATCATTATCGAAAGCTCAGCGGCACAACTGATCCCAACCTATAGGTAATCGGCTCTTTAAAGTGGGTACTTTATGTCATGTCTTCAACGACAGTGAATAAAAAAAAACAAAAAACCTTGGAGGGCCACTCCTTTAGAGAACGGGAGTGCGTCGCTTACCTGAGATGAAGAGAAGAGCTGGTCAACGTAGAGCCATATCAACTCAACGCGGTCCCCCGCGGCAGCCAGGGACATTCCGAGTAGGAAAGTATAGTGCGCCCCGAACAATGGGACAAGAACCAGCGTAGACTTGAACCATTTCCTGCAAAACAGCATTTCAACTCCCCGTTAGCGAGGTCAGCCGCTTACGTTCAGAGATTGTGTAGCAATGACTGACTCGATAACAAAGAAAGGAAGACTTTGATGCACACTAAAAAGGTCTGTGAGTTCGGAGTCGTGCAGAACACGGAAGCGGTAAATCTAGTCGAACAATCGAAGGGTCTCAGGAATCACAAAACCCGAAGTACGATTTGACCAAATAAGACAATGCGGGTACGGACAGTGAGGATGGCGTTTCGTTTTCCCTATAACCTCACATCTGTCGTTTGTTTTATCGAATTGCATAATAAACTTCGTCGTTTGCTGCGATGTTTTTGTTATCCACCGTGATTTGCTGACTTCGTGTTTAGCCGGAAATTAAACTCACAAACTTTTTAGTAGTAAATTCTTGTGACGTAGAGGAACTAATGGTTTTGATAGGTGTCATCCAAGTGCTCAAATTTCATGTATACTTTGCAATCAGCGAAAACCGTTACTGACTGATAGAGTTGACCAGAATATGCTTACCTATGAGGAGCAGAAAAGTATAAAAATTTTTGTTGCCAAGCTCACTGGTACAGTTTGTACCACAACGATGTACGTACTGTAGATTCGAGTAGTTTCCCCGGGCAATAATCTGCTAGATGATGGGCAAGGAAGTACGCTTTGCCAAAGGTGTTTTAGCGCGTGTGCCATTTGAGCGAAGACTTTTTGTTAAGCAGTGTTGGCGCTAAAGCGTTATAAGCAACGGCGTTGTTACCAGTAACCGGTTACTTTTCTCGGTAACGTAAAACGGTGCTCATTACGTTTTGAAAACGGTAACAGGAAACGTGCTTACGTTACTTATTTCGAGTAACGGGTAACTTAGTTACGTTATTCGCTGTAGACAAATATATACTGTAGACAAATATTATACCTATAAAAATGTACACTTACATTTTTTTCGTGTTTCTATACTTCGTTTTGCCTAATGGTAAAATAGCTAATGGCACCAATCAGACTGCGTCAAAAGGGCAGCATCATGGCGTTCCTCAGCCAGTCACAAACAAAAAAAGGCCCCAGTGACTTGCGCTTCTGACGCTGCTCGATTGCTCCCGTTAGCCCGTCGCGTCGGTTGCGTTCGGACTTAAGCTGAAACCAAGTATAGGGGCCAATTAATTGTTTAGTGCACTCATTCCGCGTACCTTAAAAGTTTTGGGCTTCTCTTCCCCACGAAAAATGTCCCATTTTAGAAAACCCCAGCGTCCACCCCCTTTGTCCCAGTGTCGAAAAACGCTGTAGACAAAACGAAAATGCTCGTACCGTCAATTGATACATTAAAAGTAAGATGTAACGTGCGTTATTTTTTATCGGTAACGGTAACCCGTCCCTTTTATTTTGATGTAATGTAGGCCGCTAATGCGTTCCTTTATTTTACAAGTGACGAGTATAACGGATTTTGTTACTGTTTCTTCGTAAAAACTAGAATAATGCTGTCGAGTGAATGTAATTCACTCACACTTTTCTTGTGAAACATGAAAATAAATTATAAGGCGATTTTTACTGCACCCTGTAATTTCGCTGCCCCATTTAATTTTAAAAAAAGAAGACATAAAGCGAAACAAATTTTTCACAATCTCGCCAATTCTGAGTTCCAAGCTCAAGCGAAAACTTTTAACTCTGGGGTAAATTGAAAACGAAGCTTTCGTGCTAGAAAATTTTCAGGCTGCCAGATGTCAGGTTGACTTCAAAAACAGAGTCCTGTTTCTTATTTGTGAAAATAAATACAAACAGTGTCATGCCGTAGCATACCTGGTCACCTGATCGAAAATAACACGAGCGTGTCGGGACACAGTTGAATGAGAATTACGCGATCGCTGCACTCCCAATAAGAAAAGATGCCACTAAATTTTCATTTTTGAAATTTTCTTGCGAAAAGCTACGTACGAAAAAATAAAAACCTCTAAAAAGTTATGTATTACAGCCTAGTAGTTTAATATTGTAATTATCGTAAGCGTCCTTTTTAAACAACAACAAAAAGTGTCACCGAAAGGGGTCGGCCGCTCACAATAGATAGCAGAATAACTTTTACACTTCTTCTAACTTGAAATTTACATCCTTCAAATTTTCAGGCAGCTGAAATTCAATTTCTAAACTGAATGGATGCCGCACTGCCGTCCCGCACTCTCAGAAATCGGGTAGTAGTACTTCCCCCCCTGGCATCATATACACCTTTCCAAAAAACATTCGACCCCAGGGGCAACAAACCGTTTTCGAGCCCAGTCACTGAGTTTGAGACTAGACTCTCACCGGCGTCCCTCCTAGCCCTAACCGAGTGGACTGTGATTTCAATAGGCGCAGCCTGCGTAGACGCAGTTTCAAACGCCGCTGGCGGCTAAATTCTCGTCTTTTCCCGCTATATTTTGTGTTTCATAATACATGTATTTTCCCAAGGACATTGAGAAAACATTGTGTCACATTTAAAAAAAAAAAAAAAATAACTTTTTTTGTTGGGTACGCGCGCGACAGAACGATTGCGACTGAAATGTATAGTTCTAGTTATTTGTGTTTATTTATTATGATACGTTTTGACGGCGCCGCAGGATTCACCGCATGCGAAACGACAAAGGGCTTTACTGTCAAAAATAATTGCACCAGAAGTGGGCCGGAAGGCATGCTTTCTTCACGCTCGCAAATAACGTGTTCACCGATGGACAGGACGCGGACATACAATTGAGGAAGTGTTAAATCTCGAATAATATATCGTACGTATCACACGATGCAGCCTTATCCGAAAATAATTTATTTGAGAAAATTCTCAAATAAAACAGTCACAGTCGACGACAGTCACATCTTGACGATCGAACGGAATCCGAGAAGATTTCGTTTTGGGGCACGTTTTGGGGAGAGCTTCCTTTTTTCACAACCGCACCAGGGCAAAGGAACGAACGCGACTGACCCGTCTCTCACCCTAACCCGGACAAAGATTTTTGAAGAGGACTGAACATTCTACGAGGATTATCTCTGGGAGGGGGGAGAACAATGTTCGCCAAATCGCGTCGAGGGTCGTTTGACGTCCTTCACCTCCTTCGTTTTCCGTGAATGTCGTGCATAAAAACTTGAATGGCAGGCACTTACTAGCGTTATTTCTCACAATGGAAGATAACACAGAAAGGGTACGCAGCACGCATAAAAAAGAACTAAGTGGAAATTTTGAAGAGGGGCGAGAAAACATCGAAAGCAAAACCGGAAAAACGTAGGTGGAAACCGCGCTGAGTGGGTCTTCACAGTCCGAGAGAGTGGGAGAAAATGTCTAGCTGATAGAGGGCGCGAGAGTCGCACCAGCCGCATTAGCATCAGCAATATGGCGGCGGCCTAGGAGCGTTTTTTGGAAAGGTGTATACCTCAAAACTACATTTCGGCATAGCGTCCACTGACAATACCAATATTTACGAGCGTCTTGATAGCTGTGTTGCCTAACTTACTAAAGCGCTAATGTAGGTACCAACGACCACAGAAATAAAAAAAAAATATATATATATATAAAAAAATGCTGAGGTTTTTGCAGCAGGTTCAACAAAACTTTAAGAATTTTCATGTAGTCTTCAATGCTTACATCAGATATTTTAATAAGTTGTATCACTCGACTATCACGACGCTCGTGAAAGTTGATATCGTCGGTTCAATGCCAGTGGGCTGAGGGGCGAGATGTATTTTTAAGGCGCCCGTTTCCGGCTTGAGCGGCGTCGGCGTAACCGCGCTGTGCATGATGGGTCAATTTCCCCACTAAATTTGGCGGAAAATTTTCCCTGCTAAATTTAGCGGAAAAATTTTACCGCTAACATTAGTGGAAAATTTTCCCGCTAAATCTAGCGGAAAAATTTCCCCGCTAAATTTAGCGAAAATGTTTTCCCTAAATGGGAGGCGAGCAACAGGAAGGGCATGGGGTGGCATAGCCCCGCCCCCCCCCCCCCCCCCCCCCCTCCGTTACTTCCCTTCCTCCTACTCAAGAGCTGAGCTGAAATTCGGCGTTACGGGGAGTTGTAAACGGCTTTCATTTTTCAGGTGAAATAAATCTGACAGGGGATGTAAGTACAGGAAGCCCCAAAAACAATTTACAAGGTTATTTTTTTTTTTCGCCACAAAGATAAATACGCATCACCGAAAGATCATGCTACGGCCAAATGTAGCCCTAGCGGCGAAAGTTTTTGAAGTAACCGTGTATCTTATTCAAGAGTTATAAGCGATATTCTGATATTTTTAATGTGAAAATGGGGGTCGATGCATCTATTATAAAAATGCAGCTGGATGGCGCCAGGTACAAAAAAAGGGGCGAAAACGTGCCCAAGTTTCTGACTGCCATTTTTTTTTTAGAAAATCAGCAATAACTTTTGACTGAGACAACGGTTAGTTCTGAAGCTTCCGCATATGGTTCAGGTCGCTAGACCTTAGTATTAGAGTTTTGTAATAAGTACTTTAGTTTTGCGGTAAATTGTTTTCTATTGTTAGTGTGGGTTTATTTTGTTTGGAAGTATTATATCCCCTATTTCTGAGAGTGTAGGTTCACATATTCAGCTGCCGTTTATCTTCATCAGCAGGGAGACTGCAACAACAAGGTTCTTCGGAGAAACCCTACTTGAATCTTTAGACTTTTGGTGTTTCCTCTGCGACGTTCGGTTAATTTTGACTGACCTGAATCCAAAAAGAACTTTCCAAGTCGCCTTGATGACCTTTGTGCCAAAAAATAATACTTATTAAAACGTATTGGAAAGCAGACACACAAAAGCAATAAGCTATGTGTTTTTTGCTAGCAAAAAACAACAACAACGTAAGGGCAAATTTTGAAAGTAGGAAAGAATACGAGGAGCTATCATGCCTTAGATGGGGGACATTTAACAATTCCAAAACAGAAGAGACGTGTCAATCTCAGTATGGACTGGTCAGGCGCCGAGCAGTACGTAGGGGGCATTGTTGCGGACCAACTGTTTCTTACCTGTAGCGGTACTTTCGTGCCTGAGGCGTCTGTGAAGCGAAGAGTTTAGCGAACAGAACCCGCGTGATGTTAAGGAAGAGAACGAAGTTCACCTGTAAAGAGACAGTAATGGAAGAACATTAGATCAGACTCCATGGTGTTACTGTTCCACCGGAAGTAGAAAATACTACTTGTAGAGCGAATTATAAAAGGGTATATCCGGAGCGTGTTCTGACATTTTGGAACACGCGGATTCATTCTAGGTTTGTAACTAGGGTTCCGTGGTTCCAAGGTTTATTATATCCTTGTAGTTGGGGGTGTGTTTTGTTTAATAAATTATGAATGGTCATAGTTATCTGAAACGTCATAGTCATAACGTCATAGTCATAACAAGGACAGCTCCGCGATATTGTGAAAAACAGATCCGGAGTTAATTTTCGGGGTATATCTGCGTATACCGAAAAAGTTTAATTCTAGTCATAACCTAACTTGGGGTGCCTTTACAAGCGAAACAGAAAAAGAAGTTTTGAAGAGCTCCGGGAAGCGGCTGATATCATCTGCTTTATCAAACTGTTCATATAGAGCGAGGATTGCCGAATAAAAGATACCTAAAAGACTGTACCCCACGGAGTGCCATTGTCTTTTCAGTGACGCCCGGCTCGCGGCGCGCTGCTATCAACGCAAAGCAAATCCGAGTGCGTTTACGCTACCGCCTAACGTGCGCCACAGCTACAGTGGCTTGGCCCTCGCGTAATTCGGTATTTTTGTAGCAAGGCTGTCGCTTCTGAACCGCCTCCTGGGCGCGATTCTGAGGACTTTCACGCCATCTTCGCCTCCGCTCAGAATTCCGCTCCCGTGCCTCATCCGTACTTTGTCTACGACGAGCCTCCCCAGCGCGACGTAACTGAAATTTGCGTTCTTCGGAACCATCTACGGACTTCCGAGGCTTACCTATGCCGAGCGCAATTTCGTCTGCTTCTTATGAAGACGCAGCGGTGACTTCAAAAGGCCGAGCTCTGATTGGCACAGATTAAATATGAATGGGTAGATTTCAGCGCAATCTGCCTTGAAGTCTAGCCGTTATCCTTCCATCAAAGTCAATCAGAGCTCGGCTTGCTGACGTCACCACAAACCCTGCAAAAGGAGTTGAGGAACTTGCGCTCCGCATACGGAGTGCAAGCTCGTCTGCTTGGATGGTCGTATAGGCACCGGAACAGAGCTCACCCCTTCCACAAACGACATGAGTGGCTTCGTTTGGTGCACCTTCCCATCCTTCACCGGTGCATAAAAGTGGAGGGCAGAGTCCTCCCTCTAAGTGTATTGAGATACGACAGGAAGTACACCTCCCTACACTTCCCTGCACCAGTGTAGGAGTTGTAGGTAAATCGAACGAAGCTACTATAGTCACACCGATAATGTGAGAACAGCACGGAGCAGCTTCAGCTGCCCCGACGAGAGCTTAGATTCGACAACGCTACCCCACCATGTGCACTTTGAGCGCGCGCGCGCAGCCGAAGCGGTCGGGAAGTATGGAGCGCGTGCTGGAGGCTGGGCGTTGGAAATACACGTTCTGGTGTTCTCATTCTGTCAGTGAACATAGTCATAGCTTTCTCTATTGGCGACGTGAGCGATCGAAAGCGTCGCTGTGGTCGGCCCACCACAATTGGCCGAATGCTGACTATGACGTCAGCAAAGGATGTCTCATCGACGGAAATAAGAGGAAAGTAAGAACTTCAATTTTTACGGTGTTGACAGTGTTTCTTTGAGAGCGCTATGATTTCAGGCTTCCACCATGCACATTACAAACACCATCGAACTTGTTGTTCACAAGGTAATGACGTCACGAAAGGCAGCCGAACGAGGGCGCCACCGAAACATCTCGCCGCTAATACTGGCAGATCGCCACGAGAATCGGCCGCCGAAATAGAAAAGGTGGAGCGGCAGACAAGGGATGAGAGGAGAGCCACATGACGGGCCCCCCGCAGCAGCGCGACGCCGAAACACACTTCTCCCGTGCGATGTGACGTCCGCTCGTGCTCCTCGCGTTCCTCGCGCTACCGCTTCTTTTCTCGCCGGGTTTGAAAATCATGCTTCGGGTCCTCGCCGCTGCAAACGTTGTACACCGACGTCCAGGTTCCCCGAGAAATGCTCTGTGCTACCAGATCTTCACGCTCCAAATCTGCAACCGGGCACTCTATGGCTCCGTCGTCGAACTGACAGGTTTTGTGAGGATAGAGGAGGCTATGATATAGCAGATCGACGCAGCGTCAACTAGCTCAGGTATGCGCTGCAGCTAGCACGCCTTGCAGCGTCTCACAGCGCCAGCAGCATTGTTGACTAAGTGAGTTTGTGTCTTAGAGCATACTTTCTAAAGACAACGTCGGGAAATGGACGCCGCAACCCTAATTTTCATCTGAAGTTTTAGCTGCGTCCTATAATTGGTTATTATTGAAGCCACCGCACAGAAGTCATGTTCACATTGTTTAAATTTTATCAGGCGCTTCGCGACCCCCCTTCCAATATCTTGCGGTTAATGATGTATTGTAATCGCTAGAGCATCGACAGTTCGAACGCAATCAGGGAACCCTAACAGTCAGCGGGCAAGGCCTGGTTGTGAAACAACAGAGCGCTCCTCGCTGGCATTCACGCGTATGCGCGGCAGTGGCTGCACTTCGCTTCTCATTTTGCAACATCGCTGTCCTGCCTGAACAAGAGATTTGCTGGCTTAACAAGACCGAATATTAATCGGGCATGCGTTTAATTCATCGTGGAACTGACACAGCCAACGGGAGGCTGCATACATTTTCCTCCTTATGGTGTGAGTAAGTCCTTGTGAAGCTACAATACTTCTGTGCTCTTTCGCATATTAAGAATGCAGAACAACAGTCCTCTCAGGGCCTTTTACTCTCTTAACTTTAGCAAAGCGAAAGCTAAGAAAAAGATCCCATCCCCTCTCCAGGGTTTGCCCTTCTAAAGTGGAGAAAGTGGCGGACTCTTAGGGAAGAGCTTTTCCTGCATTCTTAACCTCCAACAAACTGATGATCAGCTGCAGGCGTTTAACTTCTCCCTTATCAATTACCCCTGGAGATGTGTGGAGCATTGAAACTCGTATTCTCTTATACGTCCAGCGAATTCGATTGAGCAAAGGTATTATCTATGCTCCGTTAAAATTTTACTTCAGTTTCCGTTTGACATATGGAATCGTTTTTAATTGCATACAACTTTTACAGTGAAGGTGTCGTTTGGTTCACAACGTAAAGAAGCATATTCGAAAAAAAATATTCGTGGTAGATTTAATACTGTTATTGTCTTTTCTAAAGTGATACTTTTTTATTAAGCATAAGCAAATGTAATTCTGTCGTACAATCGCAACCAGAAAGATCGATGATGTTCTATCTTTCATATAAATTTAAGATCGATGAACAAGGAAGTCAGCTCACAGGCTATGTAAGTTATAAATAAGACCAATGAATATCTAAAATCGATGAGACGTGTGTCGCACAAGGGTGTTACACTAAATTCTGCTTGTGCGCATGTCAATTTACGCTTCAAAGTTTGGTAAGTTTGTGCTGGTCTCAAATATACACTGCTGAAGAGTTTCCACCAGAGCTAAAAAGAAGAAATACGAAATGGTAGTAAGCCCTACTAGTCAGATACAAGTTAAAGAGCCCCTGAATAAAAAAAAAAATCTTTTTTCTTTGTTGATTTAATTGGGGAACGCGTGTCAAAACATTAAGTTTAGACAAGAAAAAAATTAGAGCAATATCGACGGCGAGAGACGCGATTTAGTCAGCAGTCACCTCCTTTCCCCTTGTTTTCTTGCTTGGCATACTGGGCGCGTGGAGGAGAGGTGGATGGGCTTCGCCTTTACGACCAATATGGTCATACCGGAATGACCTGCGACGAAATGGACTTCGGGCACAAAATTTCAAATAAATCTCTTGCCGGCAATATTGCTCTAATTACTTCTTTTCGCGTAATGTTTATTTCTTGACACTTGTGTCTCAACAATCTTCAAGAATTCAATAGAAGCTCCTCTCGGACCTTGATTAGCACCAGCCACTAGGGACGTCACATACATAAGTCGTCATGGCTACTGCCTTTTCTTTCTTTATCCTCGGAGTTACGCTATGCAGTGGCAAGTACGTCGTGGTATTTATTTGGAGCATTTTTAACTTAAATTTGACCATTATCTGCTGTATACACGTTTTCCTTGTCTACTTTCATTGACTGGATAAGAACGGCAGGGTGCACCGGCAAAGGCACACACCACCACTGTTCATCGAGCTAGAATGTCCCTCTCTACAACACACAAATGCGCACGATCTCATATAAAAAGAAATCCTAGAAAAAAACAAAATGCTTTGCCCAAGACATCTGGTGGAACTCTGTCTATCCTTGCCCCTTTTGATTACGTAATCTCTCTCCTGCTGAACTCGGCGCACGTGTTACTGCTGCCAGTAATATAATACAATGCATTGCGGATTATCTAATCCACTGAATTACGAACAAAGAAGAGAACACTATCGAGGCTAAAGACATTCTGGTTTCTTTCATATCCGGAAAAAAAACTAAGGATAAGACTGCACGAGGATGTCAGAGTATTAAGTTCTGATTGGAAGAAGTAGTGCGCAGACGGAAAGGATATATGTCTTTGCTTCTACCCACGGTCTCTCTCCAACCAGAAAGGACAAGCACGTCGTCTGATCCTGTTCCACTGAATCCCGTTCGAACGCCGGACACAGGCGTTCGGCGTTTGAGCGCGTTCGAACAGTGTTTAGAGACGATTTCGCAACGAGAGCCCCGTGATTCGACGCTCCCGGTGCTCTCGTATTCTTGCTCTTCCACTGTTTATCTCCTTATAAAATATGAGCCATAAAGATATCAAAATTAAGTTTCGCCATATTTAGATCACAACGCAGCTTATGGGCGGTCAACGCTGATAGTGACATAACGCTCTTTAATGTCGCGTTATCTGGCGTACACAATAAGCAAGTGGTTAGCGAAAATAAAATCAGTGAGTGTGAAGGTAAGCTGGTGATAATTAATACTAATGTAACACCTGAGACTGTGTTGAGAAAAAAAAAAAAAACTTTCAATTCGGAGGAAAAAA